TGCATGTGAGAAGAACATGGAATTTGAGGACCAGGGACAGAAGCCTATGGTCTGAATGTTTGCAGTCTCCCAAAATTCATGTTGAAATCTTAAGTCCCAAGGTGATGGCAGTGGGAGGCAGGGCCTCTGGGAGATGATTAGGTCATGAGGATGGAGCCCTCATGAAGGGGATTGGTGTCTTTATAAAAGAGGCCTGAGAGAGACCTCTTCCAGCATGGGAGGACACAGCAAGAAGGCACCATCTATGAACTAGAAAGTGGTTCCCTACCAGACACTGCATCTGCTGGTGCCTTGATCTTGGACTTCCCAACCTTCAGCACTGTAAGAAATAAATTTCTTTATTGTTTACAAAACAACCAGTTGATGGTATTTTGTTGTAATAGCCTAAACACACAAAGATACCAGACCTCAGACATTGTGGAGCAGAGACAAACTTGTATCTCCATTGTGCCCTGACTGTTTTCTTGACCCACAAAATCTGTGAGCATCACACAGTCATGCAAAAGTTTAATACCATTAGATTTGGGGTACTTCATTATATAGCAAAGGTTGAACAGACAACAACAAAAAAATCCAAATCTCCAAGGGTGATTGGAGGTGGTGGGTCTGCTTTCTCCGTCATCATTTATGCGACTCCACACAGATCACATAAACTCTAAAAACCTCCATTTCTTTATCTGGGATAATAACAGCCCTCCTAACATCATGTAAAAATGAAGTCAGAAACCAATGAAGATGAAGCTTTTATGAAAAAACACTGTCATGAAAAGCAAAAAGACTGCTACTCGTAACTAGCCTTTCTGTTCACTGGAGAGCTGCACTCAGTGAATCACTTAAGACATGCTTTCTGGAAAATAGTTATTAACCCACACCCACAATGACAACTTACTGGATGTAGGTGGAGCTTTCATATTTGGTGAAAGCCAAACCAAAGCCCTCAAGAGTTTCCACAGAACAATCAGACAGACATGAGATATGCTCCCACCAGTGACCTCACTTGTTTTGGATAATGACACACCAACTTGTGGGAATGCTTCTTGTTCTGACAACGGGATCTGAGAAGAGCCTCTCAGACTTCCAGAAATAGATACGGTGTGCTCTGTCAGCATGACCTCCAGTGCCCACCATGGGTTCCTTTCCATGAATCTGCTCAGAGCGGGGCTTTAGGGGATTGAGGTTGGTTTTATTGATTCATTGATTTTCTCTAGTTTGTTTTGTTTTTGTTTTTTGTTTTTTTAATTTTTTGTTTTGTTTTGTTTTGTTTTAGTAGAGACAGGGTTTCTCCATATTGGTCAGGCTGGTCTTGAACTCCTGACTTCAGGTGATCCACCCACCTTAGCCTCCCAAAGTGCTGGGATTACAGGCGTGAGCCACCACGCCTGGCTGAGGTTGGTTTTATTGATTTCCTTCCTTAAAGAAAAAGAAGCCATTTCTGTATTCAGTGGAACTCTTCCCCTACTATAGCCCCCAATTAATTTTGTAGCAGTGGGAGATAAAATGTGTTTTAACCTCTAAATTAAATTTCTTCAGAGTGACCATGACACATAACTCCCATCTGTTGCCAGCACCCTCTTGCCCCTCTCTCCTGGGTGCTTTCTCGCTTGCAGACTGTAATGCTTTTGGAAAGAGTTCTTGGTTAGCCAGTGACTAGGTATGGAAGTTGCTCAAATCACTTGTTACCTGTAAAATTGAGATAATCCTGGCTCATAGGTCAGGGAGTTTCCAGCATAATGAAACACTCCGCAGTGCAACCAGTAGATTTCATTCACTCATTCTGAAAATATTTAATGAGGTTTTTGCTATGTGCCGAGACACAGGCCTAGATCCTGGGTAAACACTGGTGAAAAAGGCAGTCTCTGCGTCCAGGAGTTCCCAGGGCAGTAGAAGAAATGGAAAGTAAACAGGTCATGAACATAGAGTGGGATAAGTGCCTCGAAGGGAGAAATAGAGGTGATAGAAACACCAGAAAAAAAGCTCCCAAACCAGACACTGGAGGCTCAGAAAATGCTTCTTGAAGGAAACAATTTCTAAGCTGAGACCTGAGGAACAAGTAGGAGTTGGGAGAATATGGTGGAGGGTAAGATGGAGGGGAAAGGGGATTCGGGTGGAGAGAAGAGCAGCTTCCAAGGCTTCAGGGCACGCGAGAGCTGCCGTGGCTCCCCGCAGTACTTCCAGGGAGCTGCCGTGGTTCCCCGTGAGTGTGGAATGTAAGGCTGTGAGTAGAGGGAGAGGAGCGGGCAGGTAAGCGACAGGGGAGTCACATGGGCCTGGAGGCTACACGAAGGCCTCTGCACTTTAACATTTGAAAGAGTACTTGGCTGGTGGTGTGGAGGATGAATCAGAGGGGTCAGAGGGAAGGCGGGAAGGCCCTGGGGTGGCCCCACCAAAGGCCAGGGGCGGTACAGTGACTCCTGCATTAAGGCTGTTATATTCATCTCCAAGCCCTCTGCTCGCGGTTCAGAACGCAGAAACACGAGGGGGCTGCCTCTTACTCATGGTAATATGTTTTCTGGAGAATTCTTATAGGCAAGGCCAGCTTCTGTCCGACAAGAAACATAGAAGAAAGCAGCATGGCAGAGGAGGCAGAGGGACCCTGTCCCCAAGTCTGGCCTCGAAGGCTAAGGAGATGACACTCCCCAGAAACCCAGGGAGCTTGGCCTCTGCTTTCACTCCCTAGAGGCAGAGCGCAGTCACTGGAAACCTGGCCACTGTGTATGCCTGGGGCACGTCACAGAACAGAAAAACTGCTTCTCTGAGAGAATGGCTGAATGTCAAGAGGGAGAGGAAAAGTGAAACTTCAGAATTGGGCCCCAAACAGTTCCAATCCAATTTTCTCACTGTAATCCTCACCACACCCCAAAGAAAACAAGCCTGACTCACAGACCACATCAACGCTGGGAAGCGGGGAGGCCTGGATGGGTGCTGCCGCCGCCTCTCAGGACTCCTCGCCCGCACTCCCTGGGGCACGTGCGCTGTGGTGTCTCTCCGGAGGCCGTGCAGAGAGACAGTGATCCTTACTACCCACACCCACCTCCACTGTCCCACGGCTCCAGCCGCCTCGTTATTCCTCCCCTGAGCTTTTAGCTTCCAAACTGTTGCCAAGTGGAGGCAGGGAAAGCAGCCGAAATACCACCAGGGATGAGGAGGAAATTTTTGAAGCCATTCCAGGGGCCACAGAACTGGGAGTGTCCGCAGCTGACTCAACAGATGAGAAGGCAGAAAAGGGTCAGGAAACATGAACGAGACTTAGGGTCAGAGTTCCAGTTCCACCACATGGTAGCTGAGAACCTGCGGCAAATTAACAGGCTTCTGTTGAGCTTCAGTTGCCTCAACTCGAAAGAGGGAAAAATGTTTCACTTCAAGGGTTACTAGAAAGCATCTAGCCCAACATCTGAGAGAGAATAGGTGCCTGGAGAATATGTAGGCACTACTGACACCACTCATGACATTTATCCCATGCGGTTTCTACTTGTGCTAGACTTGATTCCCCCAGCTAGTGTTACAGGCAGGTTGACGGCACGGACTGTGTTACACAGCTCTTCTTCCAAGCACTGCGCACTTAATGTGAGTCAATACAAATTTCTGAGCTGACTGACATCCAGATATCCAGGTCTCTGCAGGAGCTACTATAATGCCAAAATACCAGAGTCTCTGGCATCCAGAACACACACTATTCCCCTTTAATGTGTAAAGCATAGCAGCATTTGCACACCTTTCTTCCACATGGTAGGTGTAGCCTAGAAGTAGCCAGTCTGTAGAAGAAACCTGAAGTGGTTTGGACCATGGGAGCTGCACTGTCTGGGGGCATCTACCTCTCCCCAGCAGTGTGATCTTGGGTGAGTAACTGGACCTCATCTGTAAAATGGGAATATTCAGAGTACCTACCTCACAGAGTTTTTGGAAAGATTGAAAGAGTATATGGAAAGCACTCAGAATAATGCCTGGCGTGGGGTTAATGTTCCAGACAAACTCATCACCACTACCACCACCATCATCGTCATCATTGTCAAAACACAGTTCTGTTTGCTGAGCTGGCAACAATGGAAATCTTACCCCAGATAAAGATCCTGCCACCTGTAGCAGGGAGTCCACCCTGGCTAGGCGAGGGGTACAGAGCTGGGCTGACTTTCTGGAATAGCCGATGTGGTTTGTGGAAGTACCTTGGAAATGTAAAATGTGTTACAAATATTAGTGTCATAATTTTAGTTTTTCCTGCATATACAGTACTTTGAAATCTAACAAATAGTATCATAAATATAATCCTAGTTTTCACTTATTTAACAACCTACCATGCACTAGATGCTGTGCTCACTGCTTTACACAGGTGTACTCACTTAAGGTACTCAGCAATTCATAAAGGTAGAACTATTTTCATCCCCATTTTAAGGATAGGGTAATGATATTCAAAGGTCACTCAAGGTCTCAAGTGGGATTCAAACTTGGGTCGGTTGGCTCTTAAGTCTATGCTTTTAACTATGAAATATTTGGGGATGGAATATAAGTGTTCTGAGCTGAATAAGATGCCAGTGAGCTCAGATTTTTGGCCAAATGCCAGTAACCCTGCTCTCAGATTCCGAGGGTTCTGCCTCCATCCCTTCAATAAGTATCAAGGCATCTCAGCACTGCAGAACGTGTACCAGTGCTTTGCTATTTAAGCACTAGGAAGAGGAAAAGCACTCTTCCTTTCCCTTGTTCCAAGTTAACCATGTCAAGCTTGATTTGTCTACCTTGGAAGAATCCAGAGCTCAGTTGACCCTGCTAAGATTTAAAATTACAGTTCTCTTAAAATTTATGTTACTTTTTAGAATATTCAGGACAATTAAAAAAAAATTACAATTCTTGAGTCTAAGGATTTACAACCTACCCCAGAGACACGTTTCGTTTTCTGGCTAGGACATGAAAACAAAATACAATACTCTCCTCCTTCTAAAAAAAAAAAATGTTTCTTTCTGAAATCAAAAAAGTACTTTGCAGTTAAGAAAAAAAGACAACAAGCAATAGTAGCTTATTTTCCTTTATTATCCCCAAATACCTGTGTGAATGGGACAATGTCGCAAAACAAGGCAGAAATCTGTAGACAAGTACGTCTCGCTCAGAGGAAAGAACTGATTGAACAGAAGGCACCAGAAATTGCATTTTGTTGGGTTACATGTAAACAGTAAATGGGGGGAAAGATCCAAAGAGAAAAGAATTCACACCGTCATTTTCACTGCCACATCCTAAGGATGAAGAATGGCCTCACTCGCTGCTGATGATCCACTGCACCTTACATTGTAGTCTCCTTACCTGATGCTAAGGAGACAAATATCCACACAGCCTCAATGCAGAAGGGCATGAAAAGAAATCGAGATTGATATAAGCCCGCAGGTCCTCTTTCCCTCTTTCCCACATAGGTCCCAAGAGCATCTTGTTTGGCAGTGCCTTGCAAATGCACTGTTAACTGGTTAGTGGAAAAATCAAATCCTAAAAAGCTTGGTGAATACACTTTGTTTCTGTTATGTTCTTCAATCAGATGACTTGGATGGGTCCGGGGTGGAGGGACGTACCACATCTGGCCTGTCTTCTTAGGTGATGACAGTGGGTGCAGTGCGTCCTGTCCTCTCCTGCAGTTGGGACACTTTCAGAGCAATGGAAATAAGAGGGGCCAACATGACCTGAGAAAGACAGTAAGAGAAACTTTTCCATCACTTCCTCTAAACCCAGATGCTTAGCTCCACACCCATACGTCTGACTGCCTACTTCCAGGTCTCCAAGGCTCCTCAAACTCCGTAAGTCCAAAAACAAACACGTTATTTCCCCCAATACCTAGTTCCAGCAGTTTCTATTTCAGTGAATCAACGCCACAGTCTTTCATGTAAAGTCAACAACTAGGAGATGTTCCTGACATTTTCTTCTGCATTTTCCCCATTCCCAGTCTATGATTTGGTCTAAGTGACTTTTCCTTGCTAAATATCTCTCCATGGCCCCCCTTTCTCTCCACTCTCCTGCTGTAACTCTTGCTACGTCAATGTGCTCTCTCTCACCTGGAGCAGTGAGTGCCTCCACATCCACTTCCGTATCTTCCAGTTTCTTTCCCACACTATACCCAGTGGGATTGATACGGTTTGGGTCTGTGTTCCCAAATCTCATCTTATATCTCCCATAATTCCCAAGTGTTGTGGGAGGGACCCAGTGCAAGATGGCTGAATCATCGGAGTGGGTATTTCCTGTGCAGTTCTTGTGATAGTGAATAGGTCAGGTGAGAGCTAATGGTTTATTTATTTATTTATTTAATAGAGACAGGGTTTCGCCATGTTGGTCAGGCTAGTCTTGAACTCCTGGCCTCAAGTGATCCACCTGCCTCGGCCTCCCAAAATACTGGGATTACAGGCGTGAGCCACCGCGACCGGCCAGATCTAATGGTTTTAAAAGCAGGGGTTGCCCTGCACAATTTGTCTCTTTTGCCTGCTGGCATTCATGTAAGACGTGACTTGCTCCTCCTTGTCTTCCACCATGATTGTCAGGCTTCCCCAGCCACGTGAACTCTAAGTCCAATTAAATCTCTTTCTTTTGTAAATTGCCCAGTCTTAGGTGTACGTCTTTATTAGCAGCATGAAAAGGGACTAATACAGGAATCTTTCAAAATGCAACCCCTCCCCACATCTAATTCTCACTTAAAGAAAAAAAAAATTCTGTTGCTTAAGTAAATAAATGCTGTCAATATTAAAAAAAAAAAAAAAAACTACTAATCTAGTTGAACTACCCATTTCACAGATGAGAAAATTGATACCCAAAGAGATGATGTGATTTGACTAAGTGACTCAATGGCAGAGCCGGGAGTAGTACATTTTCTACTGCTGACTGCTACTTTCTCTTATCTAAATCTCCACCAATTCATTATATCTGGATGAGAAGAATCAACTCCACCTGCTGAAACTACCATGCGCCATTCCCCTTAGGGCTTGGGAAGTCCCCGCAAATGCTGAGGCTGTGGCCCAGCAGCTGCAGAGTAAGGGAAGGCAGCTCCTCAGCTAGATGGTGATACACCTGGGTGTTGCAGGAGCCTCGCACCATCCACTGCCATTCCACCTCCTGAGGACTGTGGTTCAGAGGAAACAAATTTCACTCATTCTTTGAATCTACTATGTGGCAGGAATTTATCTTGATGACAGAAAGACAAACAAAAACAATTTCCTTATTCCTTTCTTCTGGCACTATTAAGTGTCTATAATGCAGACCCCTATCGCCTTTGGTTGAAGTTTTAGGGATGCCAACACCACAACAGGGTTCTGGTGATGATTGAAACTGGGGCCTAGCCACTGGAAAAAATGTAAAAGTGAAGCATTCTCTCATCTCCCCCTTTCTGTAATAAAAGCTACTATACCACTCATGTGAGGTGCCCACAATGGTCAAATTCATAGACACAGGAAGGAGAAAAGTGGTACCAGAGTCTGAGAACAGGGGGAAGTGGGGAGGTGCTGTTCAATGGGTGTAGAGTTTTAGTTTTGGAAAAAAAAAAAGTTTTAGAGCTACACTGAAAACAATATGAATATGTACAACATTACTAAATGGTATATTTAAAAATATTATAATAGCAAATTTTATGTTAGGTTTTTACCACAATTTTAAAAATTAGACTAAAAAAACTTATGAGAGCTGCTTATTCTCCAAAGTTAATCCTGTATGCCAGCCATGGTGTTTAAACATTTTGCATTCATTAAATCTCTATAACAACTGGATGAACTAGGTATTATTCTGCCATTTGACAGACGAGGAAACCAAGACTCATAAAACTGTAATGACTTACACAGGGACACACAGTAAGTAAATGACAGGAATAGAATTTAAAACAAGGTCTCTCTAACTCCAGAACCTTTGCTCAAAACCACCATGCCAGGGGTTTCCAAATGAGTTTCACAGGATTTTAATTAGATGTTAGAAGAAAAAAGGCTTTGTGGAAAAATAAGCATGGCAAATGCTATTTATTTTATTTCACTTTCAATTTTTTAATAAAAATTATTTATGTTTAAGGTATATAAGATGATGTCTCGATATACAAATATATAGTGAACTGATTACTAAAGTCAAGCCAATTAACATATCACTCTTGTCAACTACTTACCCTTTTTGTTGTGGTGAGTGAGAACAATTAAGATCTACGCTCTTAGTACATTTCAAGTGTTATTCATTATAGCCATCACGTTGTACATTCGATCTCTAGAATTGCTTCATCCTACATAACTGAAATTTTGTACCCTTTGGACCAGCATCTCTCTATTTTCCCCACCCACTAGCCCCTGGTAAGCCCTTTGCTATTCTGTTTCTGTGAGTTTCACTTTTCTTAGATCCCACATACAAGTGAAATCATGCAGTATTTGCCTTTCTGTGTCTGCTTACTTTCATTTGGCGTAACGCCATCCAGGTTCATCTACGTTGTTGCAAATGCCAAGATGGGCAAGATTTTGGTTTTTGTTGTTTTAAGGCAAAATAATTTTCCTTTGTGGTACACAGACACACACACACACACACACACACACACACACACATATGATATATATTATATATATATAATTTCTTCATCCATTCATCTGTAGATGGGCACTTACGTTGGTTCCATATCCTGACTATTGTGAATAATACCGAATCAACAAGAGAGAATGGATATTTCTTTGATGTGTTGATTTCAGTTCCTCTAAATATATACCCAGAGGAGGGATTACTGGATCATATACAAGTACTATTTTTAACTTTTTGAGGAACCTCCATATTTTTGGTTTCTCCAAAATAGCAATACGAATTTATATTCCCACCCATAGTGTCTGAGGATTTCCTTTTCTCCACATCTTTGTCGACACTTATCTTTGTCTTCTTGAGAATAGCCATCCTAACAGGTGTGAGGTGACAGCTTGCTGTTTTGATTTTCATTTCCCTGATGATTTCTGATATGGACCACCTTTTCATATAACTGTTGGCCATTTGTATGCTTTCTTTGGAGAAATGTCCTTCAGCAAATGCTATTTAAATAGGCACCTTTACTGCAAGTCTTCTCAGCACCCTTTTTTCTTCTTTCCTTTTCTTTTTTTAGAGATGAGGTCTTGCTATGTCGCCAGGCTGAAGGGCAGTGGCTATTCACAGGCGCAATCCCACTACTCATCGGCATGGGAGTTTTGACCTCCTCTGTTTCCAACTTGGGCTGGTTCACCCCTCCTTATGCAATCTGGTAGTCTCCCTCTCCCAGGAGGTCACCATTCTGATGCCAAACTTAGTGCGGACACCTGACAGGCACAGCACACTCCAGCCCAGAACTCCTAGACTCAAGTGATACCCCTGCCTGAGCTTCCTGAGTAGCTGGGACTACAGTGTAGGCCACCACGTCTGAATTCTTGGAGCCTTTCTGGTGCAGTGTATGCTGTGAATCACCAAGAAGGGGCTAACATACCACAACACTTCCCCAACTTCTTTTAGTTATGGAGCTCTGGTTGCAATGAGTGTTGTGGAAAACATACTTTTTAATTTTATTTCTTATTTTTATTTTTAACGAATGAGAGGTTCTTATGTTGCCCAGGCTGGCCTCGAACACGTAGCCTCGCCCCCTCATGCGCCAGAGCCACGGCGGCTCCTGTGAAAAACATACTTAAGAAAACTCTCTCTGTACATCGCCACTTCCCCTCGCGTCCTCCATTCGTCCTTCAGGTTCACTGTCCTACCCTTTGCTCACAGAGTCCCTCCTTACTCTGATATACTTCTGAAGACTTTCTGGGGAATGGCTGAGGAACCCAACTCACCAGGCCTCAGACTAAGACACATGAAACTGCCTCTCCCTGCCCCTACGAAATCTAAGAACCAGTGTATGTTCTGCCCAAGCCAGTGACCAGACCAAACAAAGCAACAAAAGGTGATGACAGAGCAGAACACCAGATGAGGGGCTGCTTTAAAGATCAGTTATCCTGGGTTGGGTGCAGTGGCTCACACATATAATCCCAGCACTTTGGGAGGCCGAGGTAGGAGGATTACTTGAGCCTAGGAATTCAAGACCAAACTGGGCACATGATCCTCCCTACAAAATAAACTAGCAGAGCATGGTGGCACATGCCTGTAATCCCAGCTACCCGGGTGGCTGAGGTGGGAGGATCGCTTGAGCCCTTGCAGGAAGTTGCAGTGAGCTGAGATTGTGCCACTGTACTCCAACCTGGGAAACAGAGTGAGACCTGTCTCAAAAAAAAAGTGGGCAGGGATGGGAGGTTTACATATCCTTACCAGGCATGTAAACCTATTAACTGTTGCTTAACTTTTCTGTGCCTCGGTTTCCTTATCTGTAGCAGGGAGAGTAACAGTCCAAGTTATTTCATAATTAAATGAGTATATTATCGTAATAGGCTTACAACAGAGCTCGGCAAACCATAAATGCTCTAGAAAATTGTTTATTTTTTTATTTTTTATTTTATTTTATTTTTGAGACAAGGTCTCACTCTTGCTCAGGCTGGAGTGCAGTGCTGTGATCTCGGCTCACTGAAGGCTTGACCTCCTGGGCTCAGGTGATCCTCTCACCTCAGCCTCCCTATTTTTATTATTATAATTATTATCTCTAACATTGTTGACATGGAGAAAGAAACATGGAGGAAAGTGAGCACAGCTGGTACCCTGTTGAGTCATTTGAGAAATGGGCATTGAAACACAGGCTCAATGGGAACCATTCACCCTTGAACAAAATGAACTAACCAGGTTACAGGGCTGGGCATTACCTGGGGGTCCTGGTCAATCTTGGCAACGTCCTTCTCATAGCTATCGATGTACAGCCGAATGGTAGCCCCTGCACTCCCAGTGCCGCTCAGTCGGAAGATGATTCGAGAACCATCTGTAAAAATGAGCCGCAAGCCCTGAAAAAGATAAGCAGAGATGTTTTCCCCCCATATGCTGGGAGATCGAAGGCTGGTAAATTATGAAGGGTCTATTTGGGGACCTAACTTCATCCACACTTGATCAATCAGAGGGTTAAATCCTTGATACATGGAAGCAGCTTTATGAGCCTGCCTTCCATCACCCTCTCTGCATCCAACTCATGGAGGCTTAGCTACGGCGCAAGAAGCATTTCCAGGGTCAGGGGAGACCTGACCTCAGTGATGCTGGGTGACATGAGGGTTTCCCTCCTCTCCCCACTTCCCTGTGATTTATGGACTAACCATTCCAGTTTGAAGCTTAATAATGAAGCACATAAAGCTGCTAGATGCAGAAATTGAACCCCTAGATCAAGAGGGAAACATGGACCAAAGGGGCTGAAACCAGAGCAGAAGAGGTTTCAGGCCAATAAGGGGAAGGACTCTTATAAACTACTAGCAAAGGTCCTCTAAAGAGAACAGGAGGCCAGAGGTCCCAAATGGCAGAGACTGGCTATTCCCAACCTATCAAGCAGGAGCCAATGGCCAATCTTCTGCTGATCCCTGATGACTCAAAGCAGGTCCACATGCAGTGCCAAGCCCATCCTTCTCTCTGCTGTCCTCTCTTTTCCCACCCAAGCAGTATCTCTGGTCATCAATTATCTTCTCAGTTGGAGAAAAAAAGTGTGGGAACTCTGGGGTAGATATTCCCCAACCTGAGGGAAGAAGGCTGGGCCAGACGGTTTCCTGAGGATTCTTCAGGCTTTACAAGTCTATTCATCCTCCGTCAAAAGGAGAACCTTGCATAACCCAAAGACTGACCAGAAAGATGCTGCTCCTCACATGCTGTTCACCACCAATCCCCATCTGGTGTTTAACGGTGCCATTCATTAGCACTGATTAGTGAAGACAGCAGATGAAATACACAGAGGACGTGCCCCAGTTAGTCACCATGGGAAGGGTACAGTCCATTTTCACTGACCATTTCTTGCTTTCTAGAAACACACCAAGGTTGGTCTCCTTCCCCTACAGATTCAACTTGAAACCTCTAAAATTCTTTTCACTAGATTGCAGAGGCCACTACCTCCTATACATACCCCTCCTTCTCTCCTCCCTCCTGGCAGAGGCCAGAGGTGGTGCAGAGTTGGGATTTCCTTTTCCTGGTCTTCCCTTCTGTCTCTAAAGGCTTCATTACACAAAATTCTGTCCCGCCCTGCCATCCCCCAGTTCCACACTCTCCTTTTCTCCACCCCTTTCTTCCTCAACCACAGGTCTCACTTCTAATTATCTCAGGTATAATTTACAACTGTTCAAACTGGACCCAAAGTTCTCAGATAGCGAACAGGCACAGGGATGTTAAACCACTCATGCTAAAAATGGAGGGAGACTCCAGGCACTGAGGGTTGCTGTGGCCCATCCATCCATCTATTCACTGCCTGCTCCCCAGAGGGAAGCTTCCCGTAAATCCCACAGCTAGCCCTTCCAAACCCTGTGTGATGCCTTGAGAAGGACCAGGCCAAAAATCTGGGTCTATCAGAAAAGAGTAAACTGGGAGGTTGTAACACAATCTTCATCCTGCTCTTCCACTCTGAATTATCAGAGATGAGTCCCCTCTGTGACAACAACAGACAACAGAACAGACGTGAGAGAACCCTGGGCCCCGAGTGTTTGTGAGAAGCCAGGAGAAAGCCGGACACAGCCTGCAGCCTAGGGTACCCGACGTGCAGTAAGGGAAGCACTAACAATTCTGCCCACATCTAGAGGCGCTCTGGGTTCTAAACTGTGGCATCTCGCCAGGTACTGCTGTGTCGGGTGGGCTGCCAGTCACGTGCTGCGAATGATGATGGTCAACATTTATAAGTCTGGGAACTCCTCCTCTATTGTTCTCTTCTTTAGAAATTAGAACATATGAGAGAAATGTGTAAGGATAATGCCACTCTCATGCTGTCACTGTTATAATCTGCTGACAGAAACAAGAGGACTTGATATCTAAGTTCCCACAGTTCTCCCTCTTTCTGAGGTTTTGGGGCTCCCTTCTGCTCCTTTCTGCATGTACCATGGACACATCATCTTGCATATAATTCCAGAGTGTGCAAAAATCCCTCTGGAGTCCAGGTTCGGAATCCCAGAATGAGGGTACTGGAGACTGCATAGAACCAAGGAATAAACCTCTGTCCCAACAAATGCATTTGAGAGTCACGTGGGACAGCAGAAAACCAGGTAAGAACAGCTACCCAAGAAAAACACAGCAGCAAAAGAAAAATGGCCAACAGGCCTTTTTCATTTTTCCCTTGAGATGTCAGAAAGGAAGCTCTGAGGTCTCCCTCCCACATACACACAGGTCTGTTTCTACCTGATTTCTTGAAATGCTTCCATCCACCGGGTCACTGTATTCAAAGTTATCAGCCTTCTCCACGGTGTAAACTTTGTCATTCGCTGAGAACTGCTTCCCCACAAAGGAGCGATCAAACATCAGGGCCTCCAAGTCCTTCATCATTTTGTTTGCACCCTCAGCTTCCACCTCCTCGTAATCATACCTGGAAGAAGTCGCAAAGTTCAGGCCCACAGGCTGATTGCAGATCATACCAAGGCACATCAATCAGCACTTTCTTCATCATTTGTTTGACCCTCCCCCAAAACTATCTAACTTCAGAAGAAGCTGGCAAAAAAATACAGGCCTGTCAGTCACTGGGGATGGAACAGGCCGGGGATGAAAGGAAGGGTTTGGAGGATTTCAGGGAAGGGTTATGAGCTTCTGAATAAGCAGAAAACACCCATCTTGGCATTTCTACAGAATAAAGCTGAGATGTTTCAAAGGCTTTTGAAAGATGCTATCTAACATTTAATCACCACATCCTGAAGAGGCAAAATGAAAAGCAGTGTTATCTCTGGAGAACTCTTCCTAAAGGAGCACGTGACTCAGGCACTTCTCCTCCGAGCTCCCGGGACTTCTCTGGGGTGAACGCTGGGCCTGCTTCCAGCCTGAGACCTGCCTGAGGCTGCTGAGATTTTGACTAAGGAGGGTTCCAGCTCCACAGGAGCTTCCTAAAGCAAGGCCAAGTTTTCAACAACCAGATGAAGACGCCAAACACTGACTCTTTACATCTAAAATGCCTCCTTTCTTTCTTTTTTTTTAAATTTAAGTTTTGAGATACTTAATGTGTAGAACGTGCAGGTTTGTTACATAGGTAAACGTTTGCCATGGTGGTTTGCCGCACCTACCAATCCATCTCCTAGGTATTAAGCCCCACATGCATTAGCTGTTTATCCTGATGTTCTCTGAGGTTTTTTTTTTTTTTTTTTTTTTTTTTAATTTTGTTTTAAGTTCCACCTCCCTCCTTTCAGTGGGAGTGAATTTTGGTCCAAGGTCTTTTGGGTTCACTCTGACAGAGGAGGCCCAGAGTGCATGAAAAAGGGCCAAGGAAAAAAAGTGCATCACAAATGAAATTCTATGAAGATGAGTTTTCCTTCAAGAATTCTTTCTGACTTCTTTCTTACGACGTTAAAGACTCATACAGGTGGCTTTTCTTGACCTAGTGGCATATACCCTCTTGAGAGAGTTATTTTTTAGAAGGTCAAGATAGCAGAGTCTATATTTATTTGTAATCATGAAACAGATATGATACGTGCAAGATGACACCTCTGAGACATGAGAAATGCTGGGGAATTAAGGCCAGCCTATTCTGGCTCCAGGATTCTATGAATCAAGGGCAAAACAGTCCCCTTAATCTTAAAGTCAGCTCTTTTCCCCTGTTAACATGATAAACAACAAGAAATTACAACCAGGTGTTTGCGCTTTACATTTTTGACCTCTGGGTGTTCCCAGAGAAATGTTTTCTAAACCCTAGGCACAGAGGAGTGGAATGGAAAGAGTCTGGGTTTTGCAATCAAACAGATGAGCTATGAATCCAGCCCCTATTGGTATTAACTGTGCCGACTACAGGGCCAGTTGCCCTCTCTCAGAATCTCAGCTACCTTATCAATAACTGTTTTGAGGCTAAAGTGAGACAATGCATGCCAAAGTGCCTAGCACTTTTGTCCATTAAGTGGAAGGTATAATGGAGTTTTAATTAATCATAAATGCAGATACTAAGGACTTGATTTGTAATACTTGGTTAGAAGTGATATTTGATAATTAATAAAAATAAGTTAAAATAGTTTTTATATGGAGACTTGTGACTAATTCAAGGCTGTGACCCCTTTGACTGAATAACCCCTCCTAACCTTATTCTACTCCAGGCATCCCCAAACATTTTACACAGGGGGCCAGTTCACTGTCCCTCAGACCGTTGGAGGGCCGCCACATACTGTGCTCCTCTCACTGACCACCAATGAAAGAGGTGCCCCTTCCTGAAGTGCGGCGGGGGGCCGGATACATGGCCTCAGGGGGCCGCAGTTTGGAGATGCCTGTTCTACTCTATTCTTCACCTGTTAACTCATTCATGTATCTATTTGAAACATATCTATGCAGTCTCTACTATGAGTTGGGTGCTAAGGGCACAAAAATAGACATGGCCCTGTTTTTATGATACTCTAGATTCTAGAGAGTTCATGACTGCTGCTCTGAATGACCAGGTTTTTCTGTTAGAAAGTAGAGATTGTTGTGCCTTGGTCCCCAGGGCTACTGTATGGTATCAGGTAGTTATTACTTATTTTTCCACAAAAGAATAACATAAGAGAGGAAGAGATCAATGAACCCGTCCAAAGTTAATAAAAGAATTCTGATTAAGGATCTTAATTTGCTTAGTTGACTTCTTTCTTGACTATCCAGATATCATGGACTATAAAATCTGGGATATATTTTTTAAATTCTCTAGTCTAACTCATCCATTTTATAGAATAAGCAATGGAGGTCCAGAGAAATTACTGTACACCTATTCATTTCTCACAGATAATTTTTCTAACATCCTTTTAAAATCATCTTTCCTTTCTATAATTGGAATATTGAGGTTCAGAAAAATTCCTGTTAGGTTTTTACACTAACTAGGGGAAAGGCAAATTGGAATTAGTGAAAAGTACTACTGTTAAAAAAATTTTTAATGCCTTTAAAAAATAGAAGTAGGCATGATAAAGAAGAATTACTAAGTATTCTAAGTATTTTACTCACTGCTAAATCCCCAGTACCTGATGGAAATTGGGTATACAGTAAATATATGTTGAATAAATTAATGAAATATTGACAAGTATATAGTCCTTGGGGACCTATTTCACAAGGCAGAAAAGTTGATGTGGACTAAGCATAACCATTTCTATAACTTATGAAAAAAGTTTCTATGCTTTTAGTGCCCCAGAGTTTACAAAACATTTTCAGACTCATTATTCATTTAATCCTTAACGCTGGACTGTTATTCCCATTTCTACAGATGAGAAAACTTAGTACAGAGAAAAGCTAAATGGCTTCCCAGTCTGGTAAGGGGAAGAAATAAAATTCTAATCCATTTATCTGAATCCAAATCCATGTTATAACCATGTCCACCCAATGGGCACATTTAAAATGCTTATAAAGCATTTATTATTTTGATTATGTTAGCTAAATTTTTAAAGCCTTACTCTTTATGACTGACATAAAAGTTGACTTCATTTCAACCCTGACTGAATGATTTTTAAAGTCTCCAGTTGAGAGAGGCTAGATGAACTAGGTAGGGTTTTATTATCACTTAAGACAGGAAAGTCTGAGTGTGGTGGCTCATGCCTGTATTCCCAGCACTTTGGGAGGCCGAGGTGGGTGAATCAGAGGTCAAGAGATCGAAACCATCGTGGCCAACATGCTGAAACCCCATCTCTACTAAAAATACAAAAATTAGCTGGGCATGGTGGTGTGCACCTATAGTCCCAGCTACTGGTGGCGGGGGGCGGGGGGTTGAGGCAGGAGAATCACTTCAATCTGGGAAACGGAGATTGCAGTGAGCTGATATCGTGCCACTGCACTTCAGCCTGGCAACAGAGTGAGATTCTACCTCCAAAAAAAAAAAAAAAAAAAAAAAATGACAGGAGAGGCTGTGGATGCATGAGCATTCTCTTTCTACTTCCTGTCTTACCTCATACCCCAGCTGGGATGTGGCTTACCTGGTGAAGAAGTTCCGGCCATACTTTTGCCAATGATCTTTGAGAATGTCCTCCACACTCTGCTTGCGGGTGGCTAGGATGGAAAGCCAGGCTAGGACAGCCCACAGTCCATCTTTCTCACGGATGTGGTCAGAACCTGGCAGAGGGAGAGCAAGCTGCTGTGAGAAATGTGCTTTCTCCCAGTACCTGAGAAGGTACTGAATATGGTTTGGCTCTGCATCCCCACCCAAATCTCATTTGAGGGAGGGACCTGGTGGGAGGTGATTGGATCATGGGGGTGAAGTTTCCTCTTGCTGTTCTGCTGATAGTGAGTGAGTTTTCATGAGATCTGGTTGTTTAAAAGTACATATCACTTTCCCCTTCACTCTCTCCTGTGGTCATGTGAAAAAGGTGCCTGTTACCCCTTCACTCTTCTGCCTTCTGCCATGATTGTACATTTCCTGAGGCCTCCCAGCCATGCTTCCTGTACAACCTGTAAAACTGTGAATCAATTAAACCTCTTTGCTTCATAAATTACCCAGTCTCAGGTAGTTCTTTATAGCAGTGTGAGAACAGACTAATACAGTACTCAACAGTAGGTATGCAGACCCAATTAAAGGAGTCATGCAGCTTGATTGAGGACCTGAGTACACAGAAGGAATCACATATTAAGTAAGCAACAAGATACTGAAAAGAAATTGATGCTTCCCAAAGGGATTTAGAAATTTAAGGCAAATGCCAATAAAAATGTCTGTGAGATAATTAGGTGTAACTTGATATATCAGTTATAAAGTATTAACGTGAAGAAAAAATACAACAGATCTTAAATGAACAAACAGCAGAAGAACATGACCATTATAAAATTTCAATAATTCAAATAGCTTGGTAGCTCAATGGAAGAAAAGAGTGCATCTGGAAAGAGATCCAAGCACATATGAGGCTTCAGTATATGACAAAAATCCCACTTTGAGGCTGTGGGAAAAGAATGGTCACTTTTTAAATGGCATTTGGATAACTGGCTAAATAGATATTAATTGTTTTCTTCCCCAGAAAACACCATAACAAAAATAATTCAGTTGAATGAAAAATTCTAATGTAAAACTTGAAAGCTTTTAAATACTAGTATATATTATATTTATATGTATATTTATATATACAAATCTTAGGGGTGATAATGTAAATTCAGTATTTATAAAAGAAAACATCGATGAATTTGTCTGCTTAAAAATTAACATTTCTATACTGCAAAACTACTATGGACAAAATTAAAAGCCCATTGACAAACTTTAAAAAATTAAAGAGATCTGGTTGTTTAAAAGTGGATAGAACTTAAAGTAAATGTTTGATACATTTACCTTATGTTTAATGTTTAATACATTATATATATGTATGTACACACACACACACACACACACACACATTTTTTGAGACGAAGTTTCACTTTTACCCAGGCTGGAGTGAAATGATGTGATATTGGCTCACTGCCACCTTTGCCCCCGGGGGTTCAAACGATTCTCTTGCCTCAGCCTCCCCAGTAGCTGGGATTATAGGTGTCTGCCATCACAGTTGGCTAATTTTTATATTTTTAGTAGAGACGAGGTTCCTCATGATGGTCAGGCTGGTCTCAAACTCCTGATCTCCAGTGATCCACCTGTCTTAGCCTCTCAAAGTGCTAGGATTACAGGTGTAAGCCACCCCACCCAGCCACATTCAATACATTTCAAGGTAGATATTTAATACATTCAATATAGAGAACATTCTTATGTATGAATAAGAAAAAAGCAAAAATTCAATAGAAAAACAGGCCAAGGATATAAATAGGCAATTTGCCAAACAACACACAAACACACACACACACACACACACACACACACACACACACACCCCAATTAGCATAAAAAGCTGGTGTTATATTTAACAAGTGAAATTAAAGTTAAAACCACAATGAGAAACAGCTACTTGCTTGAGAAAAAGTGTAAAAATCCACAAGTGTAAAAATCCAAATAGCCAGTACCAGGAGAATAAAAGAGAAACGGGATTCCACCATGAAGCAGGTGGGAGTGGACACTAGCACAATCTTTTTGGACAGCAACTTTTCAAAAAGTATCAAAGCCTTAAATATGGAACTACTCATTGATCCAACTGTAAGACACTGTTCTTTTTAACCATTAAGGTTTAATTAAATAAACTCTGACACATCTGTCTCCTGCTAAGGTCCTCGCTAAAATCTTAAACAAAAAATTTTAATGGGCTTCTCTGTATGTACTTATAGCATGGACACCCTTTTCCAAGATCCTGCTGTGGAACACAATTCTCCTTTTTTTTTTTTTTGCCTTTCAACTCCTTATTCTGAAAGAAAGCAGACTGCATGGAGCCTTATTTTCTGATTTCTGAATAGAACTGTATACAAGGGCTCTATAATCATGTTTTCACATTATCTTATATTGAGTCTTTATGTGCCTGCCCTACTTCACTTCCCACAGGGTCTGATTCTTCTTGGAATTGTCAGAGTATCTAGCACCATGCTGTGTATGCAGGAGGCACATGGTAAACGGTGTTCCTTTCTCTCTTCATCTTTTCAGATCCAGCTCAAATGTCCTTTTTTTTTCTTTTTCTTTTCTTTCTTTCTTTCTTTTTTTTTTTTTTTGATACAGAGTCTCACTCTGTTGCCAGGCTGGAGTGCAGTGGCGCAATGTCGACTCACTGCAACGTCTGCCTCCCAGATTCGAGCAATTCCCCTGCCTCAGCCTCCTGAGTAGCTGGGACTACGGACATGTGCCAGCTTGCCCAGCTAATTTTTGTATTTTTAGTAGAGACGGGGTTTCACCATGTTGGCAGGATGGTCTCAATCTTTTGTCCTCATGATCTGCCCACCTCGGCTTCCCAAAGTGCTGGGATTACAAGTGTTAGCCACCGCGTCCAGCCATGTTAAGACTAGCTCCCAACTTCCCTAGGCAGTCATGAGCTCCCTTCTCTTTCTTTTCCTATAGCCACCTGCATAAAACATCCGGGGTGGCGCCAGCCGCCTCAATTCTCAACCATCTGTTTGTGGGCCTTTCTACCCACTTTTTAGGGGCATCTCTTATTTAGCCTTGTACCTAAGTCTGGTGACTAGCATAGCACAAGGAATACGTAAATAACTAATATGAAAGACTCTGTAAATGAATCAACCAATCAATTTACTCTAATGCTCTATTTTTGGTTCTTAAAAAAATGTAACCTTTTCTTTCAAAAGATTTTTCTCTTCAATGGGATGCTACTTTTAGAAGTTAACAGTCCTCAAAACTCGGATGCTGGCAAAACTAGAGATGGTAGGCAATATTTTTAGGGCTTTATATAACATATTTTAAAAATGTTTACCTAACTTTATTATCTTTAGACTTTTATTTGCCTTTACTGCTATTTTAAGGAGCAAAAAGTTAGCTCTCTGGCTCTTATGGCTTTTGTAAATGATATGTTTTGGCAACAGTTCATCCTGAGAAGCAAGATTCTGGCAGCTTCCCCAATATATTGGGAATTCATGACAGCAGTGTACAGCTTAGAATTGTCTGTCTGTGCTCCATTGGGTTTCTTTCTTTCTTTTTTCTCTTTTGGCCAGACTGAAGGCAGTGTTCCTTTGTGCTTTTTCCTGCCCTAAGTAAGGAACTTGATTTCTTCTTTTACGTGGAAATGAAAATAAAATCTAAAAGTCTTACCCAACTCTGGCCAAGTTACTTGGAGATAACTAAATCATACCCCTAATATTATAAACAAAATGCCTGCCCTGGGTAACATAAACAAATATCCAATTCCAATTGTATAACACACAGCCTCTTGGAATATTCTGGTTCAACTCACTATATCTTGGATGTATCAAAAACTAGGTAATTAGATTAATACTCAGGAAGGTGGAGCAAATTTCATTTTCTTCTGGATTTTGATGAATGACGGCAAGTTTCCAGTGGAAAATACCAATGGTGCATGTACGTGTTTTTAAAGCTATTCTTTTTGCAGCTGTGGCTCAGTAGATAAAGCTTGATACTTAAGAATTAGAAAACCTGAATTTGAGGCTCTGTTACTTATAAGCTACTTGAATTTGGACAAATTGCTTACATTTTCTGAGCCTCAGTTTCTTCAACTGCAAAACAGAAATAATGCTAACTTCTCTCATAACTGTGAGAAACTATGATAAAGTACAAATATTTTATAAACTGTGAGGTATACTGTAGCTACTAGATACTGTTTTGAATAAAGGAAAAAATAAAAGGCTTTTATGGAAAATTATTATATTTTCCACTGACTTTATTAGGCTTTAAAAAATAATGCTCCTTGATTGTACATATTGGAGAAGAAAATAGAAGAATATAACCCAATATACTCTTTCCTTTGGGCACTGGGATTACAGTGTTTTTTTCCTCCTTCCTTAGTTTCTCATAACGAACATCATAAATTACTTGTTTCATTATGTTTTAATTTTTAGAAAGAAAAAGAAGCCAAACTCATTAAACTGTGAGAAAGGGAAAACTGTGGGCAAGGACTGCTAGTCCCAGCTGGCACGAAAGACAGTGGTGGGTTTTGCACTAGGTCTCTCTTCAGCCTTGCTTCACTCAGGGACCAACTGAGTGCGTGGGAATTCTACCCTTTCAGCATCTTCAAACACCTGTCACTTCACTTCAGCCTAATCAGCACCTTGTGATAAGCACAAACTCAGCTCCAGTCAGGGCACACCCTGGGTCTCAGCCAAGAAAAATGTCAACCATTCCTGAGGGAGCCAAGAGCTAACAGTTTAGGGACTGGGTCACATTTACCAGTGTGAGCATCTCAGGAGCTGTCCAGGCTTCTGCCCCTGCCAGATGACAGATGCCTGAGGATGGGGACATGGCAGCTGAAACACAACTGCATGGAGTTCTCTGAAACTACCAGTGTCTGTCTGTCTCTTTCTTTTTCTGCCAGTTTTTCTCTCTCCTCCAGCCCCCTGAACATTCAGTTCTCACTGCCCAGAAAGCCCACCCCTCATACACCTATTAGCCTGGCTAACATCTCTTGTAATTACTTTCAACTTCACTCTTATCCGAGATGCACTCCCCATGCCCTCTGTACTTCTACCACTCCCTGTGATCACCCCCTACCCTAGACTACGAGTTGCACTCCCCCCACAGGGGTTTGCCTAAAGTCAAT